CGGTCCCGGAGAATAAAGCTTTTTACGTTTCCCTGCAGCATGGTGGATTTTGAGGCTCACACATCAATACTCAATATACCTCGCAGTCTGTGAGCAATCACAAACCACCCAAGAAATGGTTGCCAGAGTGTCAGAGTTGAGCTGGAGCCAGGTCAGAAGTGATCAAAGACTGCTGGGGGGGAGAGAGAGGGGGGGAGAGAGAGGGAGAAAGAAAGATAGAGAAAGAGTGAGGGAGGGTTATCTGGTCCCAATTACATTCAATCATGGGAAATTGTCAAAGTGCAAAGCGAGAGAGATCTTCACGATGAGAGCAGGAGGCCAGATGAGCCCAGGTGGTCCGCTGACATTTCTGACTTCACAGAGATTACTGTTTTTATTTGTTTTCGTATATTTTGTCTTTTTGTTGTTGTGAGTTACGGTGGGATTGGCTTTACATCATGAATGGATCGCCCTGCCAAAACCAAACATTACATAAATTGTAGAGGAAATTTAAAAAAAACACAAATAGATGAAAGTGGATAAAACCTGACAAAGTACAACTACATGAAGCAAAGTATAAAATAGAATACAAAAAGTGCATTTGGGTTGTTGATTTGATCCATGCTGTCATATGCATAAATGCATGCATCACACAACATCACAAGTTATCTATAGCCACTAGCTATTAATCTATTTTTTCATGACTAGTTGCACACTGACAAATGAGCAGAACAATAAAATGTAACATTCCTCACACAACACAGAGTAAGAGTGTTGGGCAGTAATGTGATTACTTTTTCAGTAATGAGTGTAAGGGGATGCCTTTGAATTCAGCAATAACATCACTGCTACTTATCCCTAAATTGGCAATTTGGTGGTCGGTTAACTGTCTTCCCGCTCAATGTATCAACAGGTCGTATGACATCATACAAAGAATTATTTTGGTATTTTTTGTGCGTTTTTCGCTCAAATGTCCAGCAACACGAGCAATCATTGCGCCTGGGCAAGCCACTGCAGTGTTTAGGTAACTAAACTTCTTAGGAAGGAATAGTGGTTTGGGTTAAAATACCTGAAGTGGCGTCACTTAATTTAGGCCGCTACATGACAAATAAGTCAACATGGACTTCTGGGTTTCACACAGGACACTAACAGCGGCCTCCTGGGTGAAAGCCCAGCATTTTACAGCAGACATCATGATTACGCCACAGTGTCAACTGGAGGCAAAACAAAGGAGAGATTGGAGGCAAACACAAATCACCTCAGACTAGTGGGCGAATAAATCAAAAATGTATCGATAATGTCCTCTTGCTGCATTGTTGGGTGCCAGAATCAATAAAAAAAATAATTAATGTTCCCGTTGGTAAATGTAAACTTTCTGAAGTAACACTCGCGGTCGAGGAGAGTGAGTGACTCTACATATTGAGAGAAATATTTTGTATAGTCATTAAAAAAAAAAAAAAAGACAAGCCAACAAAACTCGCTAGCCAGCATTAACTAACATGTTTAAAGAATTATTCTGCATCCACTTACACAACGCCCACTAAAATACATCATCGTGTTTACAAACAGAAAAGGGGCCTACAGAAAATGGGCAAGGACATCATGGCACATTGCGTTCTGGGTAGTGGTTGCCATGTTTTAGGATACCCCTTATTTGTTTCATGCATTCATTAATTTTCAACCACGAGCCCACAGCAACAACAAACACAAATCAATAAGAGAAAAACTGCAATGAAACATCTAAAAAGTGAAGTGAAGCAGCTCTGTTTGCACACCGACAGCGTGTTTGAATTCGCAGCCGAAGCAATATGTCAAAACGTGGGAGGATGGTTAACCATCATTCTAACAGCATTGATAACTAGTGTTACACCAATCGCTGCAAACTGTTTCTTTTTGATTGTCACAATAATGAAAATACAGCTGACAGAAGTTATTATGTGAAGTCTAAACTGACTCTGTGAGAGCTGAAGGACTAGATAGCGGTCTCAATGAAGCTACAGAAACCATATATCGGTGGGTAGGGTTTTCAGCCATTTTTATTCAATGTTAAAACAGTATTTCCCATCCCTGTTTGATTCCCACTCACCCTCTACAGTAGCTTCCAATCCTTGTCCTAAAATACCCTGCTCATTGCCACTCACGTCTCAATCCTATTACAATCTTTGATGAACTTAAACAATACTGCAGTTAAAATATTCCTATTGTCTATTGATTACAGTCTGTCAGCAATTTTCATTATACTGCAATTAAAATATTCTGCTAACAATCTGTAAACTTCATCCTTAAACTGTGTAATGAGGCAATAACAAGTGAGATTAGGACTTTAATACTATTAAGAATCAAGGATTTGGATAATTAACAGTCGATAATGTGTGACAATGTAATAAGTTAAGAAGAACCAGCTCAAACAAAGGACTCTCTTTGTATACAAAGGATTTGAACAGACCACATTTTCCCACCTAATGAATGCTGATAAAGTGAGAGCAGATAACCAAACAGGCATAACAAAAGGGATTCCTGAAGGTTTCACTCGGATTTGTCAAGTGGTTCCTTCTCCCCTCTGATTGGTCGGGAGTGCTCACCAAAGAATGCCAACAAAAAAAGTGACCCTCCAGTGAGCATCCCCCACCCTCCCCTGCTCTATGCCCCCCCCCCCTTCCCTTCCCTTCTACCCACTCCCCCCCTCAGAGCCCTCTACCACCCCACTCGCTCGTTCTCTCCCAGTTGCCTCACGGCTTGCTGTGACCCATCTTGCACCTCCCAAAGCCCACAACAGACGCTTGGTGTGTGAAGAAGGTCAGGAGTTCAGGCTCGGCTGAGGCTCCATCCCTCCCTCTGCACAGAGGAGGCCTGCCCTGCGGGTTTATAATTATCTGCCGTTGGCATTCAGCACAGGTTCAAGCACAGTGCAAGCGCTGGCACCAGCGTGGGGGGATGCGCTTGGCTACACACTTGGTGATTAGTTGTCCCTAATTGTCAGTTCCTTTTTACCTTTCTCTCCCTCTCGCTGTCTCTGTTTCGCCCCCCTCGCCAGTTAGAACATCTAAACTCAGCGCTTGGTTTATTGTCCTAAAAATGCGCTCGGCTGTGCTTCTTTTTTCTGCTTCATTATTCTTTGGATCAGTCTCGCATCATTTTATAATTCCTTTCACAAAATAATAAAAAAAATAAAAAAGATCTCTGGCATCTGGTTCCTTCTCACAGATTCATACCTGCAGCGGCCGTCTGTCAGCGCAACAGCCAAATGTTTCTTCTCGCTGACAGACATAGGTCAATTCAAAGAGTTGAACAGCCTTCATTCATAACTCAGTGTGGATGAATAATGGATGCCGTTTTATGTTCCGCTGCTTTTTATGATGAATTTTAAATCTGTAAGTGGCTAATTCAAGGTTATCCGCATAGCTGCTGAGACGACAAACCTGAGAGTCGGACTTTCTAAACCTCACTGACGGCAGATGGAAGAAGAACGGCATGAAGCTCTTCAAAGAGGAAAGACGAGGAGAGCTGAAGTTACACAGCCTCCACAGATGGTCTGAATGTGCCACAGTCACTGACACGGGGAAACCAGGTGGCATTGAAGACGTTGTATTCTTGTCTTTGACCAAATTAAGTTGTTCTTGTTTTTCCTCTCAAGAAATGTATTCTATACAAAAATGCATTTTTAAAATGATACTTTATCTCGTGATTCACTGCAGATTCTTACCCCCCTTTTTTGTGGAGCAACCGAGTCGGTTTCAAAAGGTGAGTGTGTGCTTTCCATCAGGCATTTATATTGGCACTGACAGGCAGTGTGATAGATGACATTGGATAAATCCATTCGTCAATGCCTTCAGAGATGTCTCCGCGCCATTAGTCACTCACACTGGAGATCTCTGCGAGAGTCCATCATTGCTGCTCTGAGAAACACATCTGCAGACCTTGAGACAGACCCTGAAATGGGCTGACAACTGAACCAATACTGTTGGGGGCTGTTTGGTTGGGGGTGGGGGGGAAGAGAGGAACAGCAGTCAGGCAGATGTGGGGCCTGGATGGCTGCCAAGCAGCGCCCCGTCATCCTATAGCAGACCCTTCATCTCAATATGAGTGAGGGAGAAAGAGGGAGATGTGGAAAACAGCAGGAGGAGGAGGAGGAGAAAGGGGGACATGGAGAGATTTTGTATAAAAGGCTCCATGACTATTCCTCCATCTGAGAACATCCTCCAAAGCTCTTGGCCTCATTACAACATGACTGCACACCCACGGTGCAACCAGCAGTGCCAGCTGATGATGAAGAAACAAAACGAAAAAAAAATCTAATTTGAAATAATTCATTGTGCAAACACTTCACTGAATGCAACACTTTGACTGGCCTATTATTCTTTGACATTTTAGTGGAAAGTAGAACTAGTCCTGTGAGCCTTCCATAAAAATCTATATTTAACACGGGCACAGATGGTTGGAATAAAACCCACATTTACCACTCTTCCCCTCTGTTTTTGGTGCGAGGAAGTAGTCAAGATTTTTTTTGTTGCCAATTTCCAAGAGCTATGTGAGATGAGACATGGACTTTTGACAGGTGTTTGTTTGAATATCAAACAGAGCCGTGGAGGCGTGCAGATGGCAGGCAGATTGCATTCCAGACAGGGGCTTCAGTCTGGTGCCGGAGCAGTGGGGGAGAGCCCATCTTTGCTCCTTGATGGTTCTCCAGGGGAATGGATGTACAAACCTCTCGTCTGCACGACTATCATCATCATCATCATCACCATCATCATCATCAGCGTGGCCTTCGCCGCTGTCTGTCCACTGCGGAACAGCACAGCACTTTTATTTTCCATGAGCTGTGTGCAGAGACGGGCTCAGCATTGGGTCACAAACAAACAGTGTTTGATGTTTGCTTTTGTGTACTTGGCAGCATTTATGTGCCTGTATTTTGAACCATAACACTCCTGTAGAATGTGAATATACTTAATTATGTAACATAATATGTTAGTTTAAATTGGCCCTGGCTGAAAGAGACTAATAATTCAGAGAACTGGACTTACACTTCAGCTCTCGGTTGTAATGTGTGGCTGGAGACAATGTTTAGTGTTTGACTACATACAGGTTAGGGTGAGAGGTATACAATTTACAGTGTTTAAGAGAACGCAAAGGCCAACGGTAAAATTATTACCCAAACCATCGGTTGTAAACATTCATCACTGTTTACAGATTGACTTCCTGGTTCAACTTTGAACCACCATACTTGGGTTTCTGTACGCACACAATTCTGTGCAATGGGAATTTATTACTGGCATTTGGGGGAGTGCTTAATATCTATGTTACCTCCAACTACAGTGGTTTAGATAATATGGCGTGTTTACGATGATATACGTCTGACATCTACGGACAAGTGGACGCTCGTGTCTCTTGCCCTGTTGCATTTCATCGTAGCGATGTTGCCACATTCCCAGATCTTAGCAATTTCTTCTGTGTGTATAAAGTTACTACCTGTGTTGATAAGAATGATGAATGATAGCTACAATATGTTTGAAGAGACATAACTGAGAAGGTATTAACCAGATGGCTTAAAAGATAGATTAGATGATATAGAATAGATAGATTGTACAGATTGACAGATTCCTCCGAGCATCCTTTGTACACTATAGTACATACAGAAGAAGAAGAAAATTATACATACAAGTACAAAAATACTCACTCCACATGGTTCTCACCAGTAGAAGTCACAGATATTCTCTGTACTTTCTGTAGCTCTCGTTTTAGTCTTGAATTTCCCACCTGCTTAGCTGGCAAACCGATTTGCTGGAGAAACAAAATGAGAGTGGGAGGAAGGTATGAATAGCTGGCAAGGTGCACCTCGGTGAGTCAACAGACAATTGGGCACTGACAGAAAAGGCCCATGTGGTGTGGGCTAATGCTGAGACTTGTACGTCAGGTTGTTTGTTCTAGCCTCTATGCTCTGCTTTTTTTACAACTGAATTCCTTTCGGAATTAGTATATAATATGTTTTCACAGTTGTTTATTTCAAGCCTGTCATGTTGGACATGCGGGTAGGAGTGACAAAAAAGGAGTAGGAGTGACAAAAGAGGCCAGGGAAAGGCTGAAGAAGAGGTGAGAGGCCTGAAAACAGGTTTACATCCGTTCCTGCAGACAGATCCTGAAGAACATGGCCAACGTCAACAGGAGCCACACCACAGCTCGGTGCTCCAGCCCACACACACACATCGCCCGTTTGGGTGTTGTTACATAACCTCTTTGGAGAAAAAAACTGGTTGAATGTGGTTCTGTTACCTCTACTGGTTTTTATTCTACAGACATTAGTAGCTCTGCAGCTGTATCTCTGTTCAATTTCATGCATGTCCTCTCTGTGTGCTTGAACATCTTAGGAACTGAACCAGCAAGAATAAACCCCCAAAGGGAAAGTCAAAATCCCCCATGGTTCTATTTTTTGTATTATTTTTTTGTAGAATTTAGATGTTTTTTTTCTAAAGCAATTCAAAACCATCTGCACTTTGAAGAAAAAAAAAAAAAGAAGTAGAAGTCCACACAACGTGTACCAGATGTGCTTTAAGGCTCCACAGCCAAGTCTCCATCAGCAGCCTGCACTCTCCTTCCCCTGAGGGTGGCAGGCCAGCAGCATAATGTCTGAGCTGTTTCATGCAACAGGTAGCCTCCATTTCCACATTCACCCCCACAGCTTTGTAGGAAACTCTGCAGATCTCTCACTGTGAACAAGCCCAAAGAGGAGAAGAAGAGGGGTCAGTTCATCCTACAGCTCCATTGTGAGCACGCCCATGCTGCTTTTATACTGTAACAATGACCTGTGGCTGAATGCACGGCCCCCCACCGCCCCAGCCCCCACCCTGCCCTGACCCCGAACAACGCTGAGGTAAGGACGTGAGGTTATTTTCTTAACCCTGATACAAGAAAAATAGAGCTCCCAGGGAAAGTATCCGGGGCCAAATTTGTCTGTTAATTCTAAAAAGACTAAAGGAGGGGGTTACGCTGGCTGGAATGTTTGACTCCCATCTTTCCAAGAGTTGGGGGGTGGGGGCGGGCTTAGTGGCTTTTTACAAGGAGGCTTCTCTCTTTAAGTCAGACAACTTCAATCAAGTTTACTGAGGATTGTTGGTCCTATAAACACGGAAAGTTTTCATTGTACTTTCACCCTGCGGAAACCACATGACACAGGAAAAGCCAATAAAAAAGCCCACATGCTCATGCTGGCCTGATATTGCCAACAGAATGTGACCATACCGAAAACAAATTGAAACAAGTGACTCCTGCCACTCATCTGTGACATTGAGGCTTTTCTCTGATAATATAAATCAAATCAAAAGCGCAACATTTTGTGCCAGAGAGGCCAATAAGATGCCAGTTACTGAGCTTCAACCCTGCCTGTGGTTGGTTAAGTCAATGCATCTACTAAAAAAAGGGTTCAAGGTGAGGAAAGCCCCTCAAACAAACACAAACTCTGAACAAAAGGGGGGATGAAGGAATCTGTGCTGAAAGAATGTGGCTCCTCTTTCAACTGTTGGTATGCTCGCGGCACCTCCTGTCAAGAGAAGAAAAATCCCAGGAAGAAACAAACTGCAGAAATGCAAAACAATCCCGACCTCCTGCTGCCTGCCGATTGATTGATTAGGACTTGTCGCATTTCTCTTCCTTTCAAACTGCTGAAGGCATTGAAAGAGTGAGTTTAGACCTCTGGGCTCATTCACATGAGGATATAACAGTTTAAAGTTATAATTAATACGATTTTAATTAAATCAACCCCCATTTTTAATACCGTCAATGGTCTGCATTTTATCAACAGCAGCCATTCATTGTATTTACATTCTGTAATTGCCACTATATGTATTAGTTTTCATCATGTGTGGCGGAGTCCGCCATCCCCGGACTGGATGGAGTAGAAATCGGCTGATGGTTCCACTCCGGTGGGGGCACCAATGATAACGATCATCACGCACTTCCACGAATGCAACAACTTGAAATTTTGACTCTCACACTCACCAAAAAAAGATCGCATTTACAACCAACTTGGTCACAGTCTGGAGCCCTGTGCCAAGCTTTCTTTGAGCCGCAGAGGTGGTATGCGGATCTATCATCAAGACATGCCGCACACCTTCGAAAGAATGGGACCACACGCCGCACGCAGACGTTCGATTGGACATAAGAGCTGGGATTTAGGTTTTTCAGACACATCCTGTTAGAACAACAACCTTATGAATTCTAGGCACAGGAGATCCTCCTCATCATCCAACTCTTCCATGATTTTTTTTTTTCCCAGCCATGGAATTATGTTGAGCCAAACTTTGGAACTATTGAATTACCCCTATGAAATAAATCAAAGACCACGGGTCCAAATCAAAAAGAATCTAGATGCAACACCCAATCCACCGCAGTACTATTTATGGCTGGTGTAGGAGAGAGGTTCCCACACATTACGCATAGGCGCACATTCGCAAGAGTACAAATCAGGCCTCACTGTTTACTGCTCACTCTTAGAAGGCCGTATCAGAGCTGTATGAAGTTACTGCTAATGCAAACCAAACATTCCCTAATGTTGCTAGTTCACGTTTAAACGGATTCGACTGTGCAACACTGGGTGGATTCTATTGAGAGGCAGTCTCAAGAAATGCATGTATTTGCCCTCACGGTTAATGCTAACAATGGTCGTTCATCAAATATTAGTTTTTATTGGCATTTTATGTTGATCAATCGTTAATTTTGCAAAGGAGGAAGGAGCAGCTGTTAGATGAAGAGTTGCAGTTGACAGGCTGCACACCTCCAAGTCGTCAGCAAGGTAATCTGATTCAACCCTCTTTCCCCCTGCAATCTGATTTCCCGACGTGTTCAGCGTGAAACCAGAGTGCTGTAGCAAATCATTATTGACCGACCAATTTATTAAACCAACGAGAGTCTGTTTGACTACACTGTAAACAGATATACAGCTGCTCCCCTGTTGTATTTATGACAATAAATACAGCTGCCCGAGAAGTGTTTACTGTAGTATCAACTGCTCTCGCTGTTATCATGGTGACCACGGGTGTTTGCCAAAATCAACCAGAGCTGGAATATTAAGGATTATAGTGGAAACTGTGTAAGCCAAGTTATGATTCAGGAGAAATCATATACCCAGTAGTATAACTGTGAGTTAACTTGAAGTAAATACTATTTACAAGCACTTTAAATGTAAGAATAAATCCCATCGCAGTCACACACAAAGCCGCTTGTTGGCTTGTTTGTTCTTCCCCTCTTGTTTTGCTTTTCCTCTCCTCAAGCTGCAAGTCTTTAGGCAGAGCTTTGCTTTGACAGGTGAAGATCAACTGGAATCATCGCTATAGGCAACCATGTGGGATTGGAGGAGAGAGGTGGCCGCGGGGTCAGCGGCAGCGGAGTTATTCTATACCTACGCAATAACACACCCGGCTGGGGCAGAGTTCACAACATGCCTTTATCCTCTTCCTGCAAACAAGCCGCGGCACTATTTCACGTTTAAGCCCAAAGGCAACAACAAGAGAGAACCGCCATTTATTTACTACCCGTGTCGAGTCTTCTCTCTTGTCAACTAGAAATGATGAATGGCGTCAACACAATTACCTGAGTTAACTACTGTGTTAGTTTTCCTTTCAGGCGTGCCGTTACAGGAAGACGACTATCTTGAATCTTACGTCCTGTTTTCTGATGAATGGTCAGAGAGGAGCACTTGACTTCCGCTGCGGACACTTAAACCGGCGGAAAACAGTGGTTGGAGCGATTACGCGGCAATCACATTTGTAATTATGATAATGTCAATTGAGCTTGTCAAGGATGAATAATTTCAGGGGAGACAGTAAAATATACCTAACAAGGCTTTTCTCAGCGGTAAACACGGGGCTTTTAAAACTGTAATTAGCTCTCTAATGTGTAACACATGGCTCACAAGCCATCCATGGGCCCAACTTCCCTTCTCTCAACCACTTTCCCCTTCTCTCTGTAGGACACACTTTTCACATAGCTGGAAATCTAACCACACAAATAGGAAGCTCTCTCAGCGGGGTGGGGGTGAGGCGCAGGCAGGCGTAATTCAGTAATTGTGGGACAAATTGTTATTTTCCTGTGCTTAAAATAGACACACAGTAGATGCAAAACAATATTCTTGCGAGGTCTACCTTTGGCTGCAAGGGAAAACATTTTCCCTGACAATGATTTTTGTTCTTTAGCAACCTAAAACAAAAACGGGAGAACTATATGTGCCCTGCAAATCAAAAGTTCCAGGCCTCAGAAAAAGACAAGATGCGAACACCCAACCACCACCAGAGCACCCCAGCTTTCTCTCCCACAACTGCCCCTTCACGCATCCACCCATCCAAAGTGTTCAAGAATTCCCCCTTGTGAGACAGACACAGATAATTGGTCACAGATTTTTGTTGGCAGGACACAAAGGGACCCCCTATTCACCCCTGCGCAGCTGTCTACTTCCTTTTCTCCCATCTCTGCTCCCCTACTAGTTGTGTCGTCTCCAATGGTTCCCCCAGAGCTGAGCCGCTCCTCGGCCCCAAAACACAGCCCCTTTTCACTACCGCAATAAAGCCACCGGGACACATGCCTCTCGTGACCCTGACCCAGAGCCCCTCTGTAGCCTCCTTACGCCCCAAGGCCTCAGTGACATCTATGAGACCTTTGAATCTGTTACTAGCTCTCTTTGATAAGAGTTGTTCCACTAATTAGGGATCCACCGGCCTTCATTAATGCACCTGTCATGTGGTAAATAACTCAGCTCTATGTTTATGTATTTCTTCTATGATGGCCAGAATCATTTAGCCATCGACTATTTAGGAGTTTTTAGTCTGTTTGGTTGGAAAAGGGTGATTTCACACACACGCCAATATTAAGGCATTTTTAACTAGCCGACTATCAGAACTAAGATGTTATAAAAAATAATCTCTAGAATCTGAGCCCCTGACAAGGACCCTGAGGACTGACAATTACAGGGTCGAGGAGGGCAACGTCACCCGCTGTGTGTGTGTTTGAGAGAGAGACAGTGACAGAGAGAGGGAAAGAGAAGGTGGACTGCAATCATATGTGCACGTCAACGCTATGAATGAAGCTTCAGACTATTCGGTACAGTCTTAGTTATGGATATGATTTGGATTGTGATATTAAGGATAAGAAAATAGCCAAATGTTAAACAGACCATGATGTTGTCGCACCAAGCACAGACATTTATAAAACGAATCGTTGAGGAGACCTTGTTATTAAATAGTCAAGCTTTTATAAATGTTTGTTCACCTAACTTGAACTGAAATACTTGCAAAAGGTTTCCAAGGTTCTATTATTTGAAAGCTCCGTCAGACACTGAGCCATGCCGCTGCACTCTGGTGATTTGATCGCCTATCGGCGATCTCGAGGAACCACAATTGGACGATATGAAAATAGAAACGATTGAAACAACCCTGGTTCAGATCAATTGGAGTCTGAGGAGTCAGAGTACATGATCTAAGTATAATGTGTGTTCGAGCTGGTTACTGGCACAGTCCTACCACAAAGCAGCTCATCCGGCTGTTTAAGTGTGAATGTAGATCTGCGTTCCTGGAAATCAAGCTGGGAGGCTCGTCATCTACCGGAGGCGTTGGATCTTCTTCACTGGATCGTCTCACTCAGCAACAGACCTGACCTGCATGTACAAACAGGCTTTTAGTTTCTGTGCTGCCTTCATATTTCGTCTTATCTTTCTCTCATGTTGCTCAACATCATTCTAGATCATGCAAATACTTAACAAAATTGAAATGATTTGTTAGAAGACATGCTCCAATGGATCGGCTGCCGATCTAAACCGGACAGTCTTCAGCTGATCGGCCATCTAGAACGCTCTACAATGAAATGAGAGCGCTGCTGTTGGAATGAAGTCTATCCATATGTATAATGCGAAAAAACACCTCTTGTGCAAGAACTTGTTGCCAGTGAGAATGACCAGGATTATGATGAAACGTGAGACTGTAACACTATACATATGAAAATAAGTCAGAAAATGTTGGCTATTGCCAACGTTAGGAGTTAGTGAAAATGTAACCTAGTTAGCTTAGATAACGATTTATTAAAAAAGTTTGGCAAACAAGTATCTTTCAGACATTCACTGGGCTTGGCGCTCTGACCAGAGTACGCTCTGCTGCTCCGAGATCGTGGTTCTCTGAATAACCAAACATTCCAACAGCGCTTCGGAGTTACAGTCTGGCACTCTGAGTCACTATTTACAAAGTTCAATACGGAGGTTCTTTAGTGAGTGAAGAAGATATAGAAATCGCAATTTGTCACTACGAGTAACATAATAAGCCACAGAGGAACATTTGGAACAACTAACTTAATCAGATACTTAGTATATTGTTGTTCATTCCCATGCATGCTGCTCAGAGTAATCGCAGTGACCGGCTTGTTGGTTAGTCTGGAGCCTTGCTGTCAATTATAGTTCTCAGAAGGTAAATTGGAATCAGCAGTTCAGTTTTTTTAAAAATCGGAAAATCAGACAAGAAAGTTGTAGTTGGTAGTGGCTCTGTAGTTCAACTTCTCAAATTTTGGTAAAATAACTTTGTTTTAACAAAATATGATTAGCATATATTGACACAATACAAATATCAGACATAAAAACAGAAATTAACTTTCAGATTTGCCAATATTAGACACATTAAACCTATAACCCTACTCTCTCAGTAAAACAATCATTTTGACTTCCAGGTTGATTTTAGTAACTGAACTGGAAAACTTAGCCCCAGGAAGAGTGCAGGGTTTTTGAAGCAAATTTTACATATATGGCTAAATTATAAAAATCGATCCGCTGGGAGGCGGGGTTAAAGGAAAAGCTAGTGCGCTTGCTCTACAGTCCCCATGGATGCAGTAGATCAACGGAAGATCTGGGTTATTTTATAATCGAGAGTCGAACTTCTTTCGCTTCATGCACCACTGAGCAATTTTTAAAGGAACGAATGGGGCACCACCTCCAACGCTGTATCCAGTTATCTTTATACATCCATGATGGGAATGGGTGAAACAAAACATTTGACGAAGTTATTACAACTGTAGAGTGTAATAACTTAAATAAAAACATTAACTTTAGTCAATTGTTCAAATAGTCATAACCGTTCTCATTTTCTATTTTAACCTGTTTTTGTTCAGCTGGGTTATACAAACAACCATATTCCACTGTGGGAAGAGTAGAAACAGTAGAAATGTGTTCATGCTGGAAACAGAGGAAAGTAGAGCGACACGTTTCACCTTCAGCTTCCTGTACTTTCTCCCTCTTCTACCTAAGCGTAATGGATTGCATGAGCGGAGTTGGTGTTGTGCCGAATACTAAAAAGCACTAAAACAGACACAAGAAAGAAGAAAGGGGCACAAATACAACATAGTACGGCGTTGAAAGAAAGAAAAAGAGAGAAATAAGAAGGAACGGCGAGAGTTCGGTCTGGAGGGGAAAAAGGAGAAGAAGGTGATTACAATTCCAGTCACAACTAGCGCAGCAGCTTGTGCAGTGATCCTAGATTTCTTGAGCAGCCGAGCACAGCTGCTCCCAAGGGGCTCATGGGAAGGCATAGGTCAACCACCCCTTTCCTGACTCACCACATGTTAAAGGAATTCAGTGGTGCATTGTGGGATGTGACACCAGTAACCCCCACAAGTAAGTTTCCAAATTACTAACACATACATTCTCAAACCTGTCTGCCATTTCAGCATTGGAAAACTGACAAATGATGTAAAATGGGAATGTGTAATGTCATATACTAGTGAGTAGGACACGTGTAGATAAAAAACAAAACATGCACCGACTAATGTAGAAAATAATGACTTTTTATTTATTTTAGTGGATCTAATTCTCTGTGTAGATGAAGACATCCTCACCTGTTTTTCTTCTTATCTCTGACCTCACTAATGGATGACTTACTAACACAAGTCAAATTGGGGGTATTTATCAAGTATTTATCACAATGTCCTGGCTTTACTTCTGGAAAACACTCCTTATCCGTTTACCAAATGGAGACAGTGCAAGCTATTGTAGCAGAAAACAAAGATAAGGCAGGCAAATGTTTGTAATTCAGTTTAACATTCCTGCATGCAGCTGGAGGATTCATTTAATTTGTCAAATTCCTCCTTCGCGTCTCTTCTTTTCTCCCTAACATGAAAGTAATTACAGGTTATTAGTAATCATACCTACAAGTTATGAGCTGTAACTATCTGCCGCTCGGCCCGGAAATTGAATTAGGGAGGTAATGATGAAAACTGAGCCTCTGGACTTTTCACAATCAGGTCCAGAAAATTGTTGCGTGTCATTATTACATGCATGTTGAGAAAGTTTCTCTTCAGTTTGCAGAACTAACACAGTTCAATGAGGGGAGGGGCAAATAGAAATCACGTGAAACAAACTGATACTAAACAATTTTCCAACTGCTGATACAAGGATTGTGGTGACTAAGATCATCACAATTACAGTCACAAATACACTAGGCTTTTAAAACATCATAAACATCCTGCCAGCCAGAATACTGGGTGTCCATTTATAGGGCTGTGTTTCATGGAGCAGTTATTGCCAGGTCCTCTTGTCGGCCTGGAGGTAAACGACGGAGCTGATGGACATCTGTCAGCCAGCCAAAGAAGAAACAAACCTGCAGGACTATCAAAAAGAGAGGGAAAGATAGGGAGATAGAGAAAGGGATAAACAAACACTACTCCGATTACTTAGTAGTGAATTTCTTTTGCATTAGAGGACAAAAAAGTAACGGTTTATTTGACAGACATGGCGGAAAAATCCACTCAGTCTGGGAGAGCTATGCCAGGCCATCTCTGACATGCAAAGCCTGAGTCCCTGTGAGCCCAGGGGGACTACTTGGAGCCACAACAGGCCTGAAGGAGAGCCTGGACCACAGGTGGTGTCCAGCAGCTGCTATGGGTCTGCATAGACAAACACACACACACACACCCAGCCTGCACTAATGCACATTCTCCGAACATACTCAAACTGTATGCACAAAAGTGCGTGCCAACATGATTGTGTCAAAGGAAGACTCACAGATAGAACCACAAGCATGCAAAAGCATGGCACAACATGCACACACACACACATATATAGGGCCCCTACCGTGAGATACATACAGACAGGCACACCCAAACACACACATTCCCTCTGCAAACATAATCCACGGCTGATGTATAGTGAACACACACACACACAAACACACACTCTCTTACACCCGACTATTGTTTAGAATATTCTACCCGCATCTGGTCTGCACACATGCCAGCACAAAGTCTGCCTGTCGCTCAAAACCAAAGCGAAGAGAGAGAAGGAAAAAAAAAAAAAAAAGATTCCCTCATGACACAATGGTATAAACACGCAAAAACACATGCAAACACCACACATAAATCAGATCAACCACCAAGCATTGCGCACACACACTCGAAACATGAAAAAGAAAAAAATTGAGTGTGCTCGTGCCTCATGTGCACCCCTTCTCACACCCACACAGATTCCTGCAAGTAAACTCCAAAGCTGCCGTCCATCTTTCAGCTGTAATGCTAGACACACACCCCGAGGAGGGAAAACCCGCAACTTTACAGATTTACTGACTGGAATTGACTCGATTTCTGGGTTGTCTACACCGCAACAGCAGACACGTCTTTCTATCTGGCTCTTTCAGTCGTGATCAAAACCCAAGCCCACGTAGAGAGAGAATTTTACCCACTTTTCACTGGTGTAATACAAAAACAGTAAATTTCAACACTGCTTTAATTATATGAAGGTGCATTATGGTGAGTACAGTACATACAGTGTATTGCAAATGTAATTATGTTGAAATATGGAGTGGTTGAGTAGTCCATTTTGGCACTCCTTTTTCTTGAAGCATAAGCAAAATTCCAACTGTTACGTAAGCCAGAACAACAAACTACTAAATATGGGAAACACTCACTAACTTTCATAGCGAGACTACCCAGATGAACAATTTATCCTGGATTCCAGAGCAATGAGGCAACAAATTAAAACGGACATTAGTGGTGAATTTGAGCTCTCTTACGGAGGAACAAGACACATGACTGACAGCAGCGTTACGCAAACCCACAGTTGTCCCTTTCATTGGTCCCAGGAGTCAACACTCAAGGAACGGGAGAGAGTCAGGACTTGGTGGGTGGGATTCAACCTTAAAAAACCAAAAGCAAGAAAACGTAACTGCCACATGACACAACGAAGCTCTAGCTGTGTAGCTTCCAACTATACCGCCACGTGTTTGCTTATTATCTAAGTGTCACGTGTCCTCTCACTGTGCACTGAACAGAATCAGCTCTTGTCTGATGCTCCTGGTTTGCTTGTGTGTTGGCAACGAGGCCTTTCGTGACCCCCACCCTTGGCTAAAAACAAATGAGTCTCATCAGACCAAACAGAATAGGTCCCTTTTCACAGCAGCCATTTCGACATGTCAATGCAGGGTAAACACAGGTGTTTTAATAACATTATAGTTATGGCCCTGTTCCATTTAGGTGGGGCCAGGGACTTGGTATTGTGCATGCTGGCTCACTCGAATGGCTGTGACACACTAAAAAGAATGGGGTCGTAATTAATTTGATCAATTACACCTGTGTTTAATCTGCTATGACATGTCAAAATGGCTGCTGTGAAAAGGGGCCTATTGCCTG